GTAAAATCATATTATAATATAATACTAAAATACCTATAATAAATTACAATACTATAATATAACTATAGTAACACATAGTTTCCTACTTTGAAATTCAAGCAGGCTTCTTGCAGCTGGATGATCCGGTGACTCTTATGTGTCCCGAACACCACACAGAGAGAGCACACAGCAGCCTGGTCATCCTGGCAAAACAGCTTCTTCTCCTCTCCATGCTCCTGACACTTATAGGAAAGCAGATCTTCAGTCAGTTCTATAAGTGTGTGTCCTCTCAGCCGCTCCCTGTGCTGATGATGGAGAGTGTGAGCTGAGCACAGCGAAGCATCACAGTTCAGACAGTTTTTCACAGCTACTGAGGCTCTCTCAATGCAATGATCGCACATGATAACTGATGAAGACATTAATGCAGTCTTTTCCTTCACATGTCCACCAGTGCTGGTATGCTGTACCTTTTGCTCTAGATCTGTGTTGATTTCAAGTTTCAGGTCAGGTGGAAGGAAGATCTGGCATTCAGGACAGAATCGTGGCACTGCCTCTGAGTCATCATCATCCAAGTTCCAAACGATACGGATGCAGGCCTGACAGAAGTTGTGCCCACAGGGTAGACGTATGGGTATTGTAAAGACATCCACACAGATGGGACATATTAGTGCTTGTTCTGTAGCCTCCATGTCTACTCTTGCTGAAGACCCTCCACTGAATGGACTGTGCTGGATTTCCATGAATGTTTTAGAGCTGAAGCTCAGGTTTCAGTGCTAATGTGTGATGCATGGATCAATTTTCCACATTTATTGTTGTAAGATATTTAAAGGAAAACACACTAATAGCTGTGATACAACTTATGGTGTATAAAATAAGCTAATTCTTTATTCATTTCTGGTGTCAAACTAAATCGGTGGTATTTCAAATTGCATGGAAGGAGAGACTTAACTATAGAAAGGCTCTTACTGCTGCGAGATTAGCATATCTCTCCACCCTCATTGAAGATAATATCCTAAATTCTTATTTAACAGAGTAGCAAAGTTAATTAGGAACAAAACCACCACAGAAGCACAAATACCAACCATATGGAGTAGCTATGCTTTTGAGTTTTTACAATGACAAATTCGAAAATATTAGACAGAACCTTCAGAGCATAAACCTAACGTCAATTTGATAACTAACTATTAAGAGAACAATATAATCACATCAGTAGAGTGATTAGAATATTTTTCTCAAATCCAATAGACCAAACTAATTTCACTAATTTCCTCTTCGAAATCATTAACTTGTGTACTAGATCCTTTACTTACACATTTCCATAAACAAATACTACCAGAAGCAATTACACCTCTATTGCAAATAAACAACTCCTCCCTTAACAGAAACTATGTACCTAAATCTGTTAAACAGTTATCAAACAACTGATTAAAAAAACCTGACCTTGACCCTTGTCAGCTGTCTAACTGTAGGCCAATATCAAACCTTCCCATTATCTCCAAGATCCTAGACATGGTTGTGGCACAGCAGTTAGGCTCATACTTGCATAGAAATCACATTCATGAAATCTTTCAGTCAGGGTTCAGGCCTAATCACAATACTGAGACAGCGCAGGTTAAAGTGGTAAATGACCTCCGATAAGGGTTGTGTGTCCTTGCTCGCGTTGCTTGACCTTTTGACACCATAGATCATAATATACTTCTAGATAGAGTAGAAAATGTTTTTGGAGTTAAACATCTCTTTCCTTGGTCTTATTTAACTGATCATTATCAGTTTGTGTATGTAAATGGTGACTTCTTTATGCATACAGAAGTAAAGTTTGGTGTTTCACAAGGCTCTATTCTAGGCCCACTGCTCTTTTCTCTATGTATCCTACCTCTGGGTATAATGCTGCTATATATTTCAGCAAAGCCAGATGACAGGCACCTGCTTATTAAAGATGAGGAATGTGACATTAGACACTGGATGCTGAGTAACTTCCTCCTGCTTAATTCTGACAAAGACAGAAGTACTTCTATAGGACCACAGCAGTGGCGTGCGGTGGTGTTTTAAAATGAGGAGGCAGTATATATATATATACACATATACATATACACACACACACACACACACACACACACATATATAACATTACATAAAAAAGAGAGAGCAAATATAATTCTATTTTGTATTTTATTATTATATTTTTATTTTATTTAATATTTTTAATACTAATTATACATTTCATAGTGTTTTTTATGCATTTTTACATTTATTCCAAAATAATAACTAAAGTAACAATTATTGCAGTAACAATTTGAACAATATTTTGGAAACACTTTACAATAAGGTTTCATTAGTTAACATTAGTTAACTACTTTAGTTAACATGAACTAAGAATGAACAAGACTTCTACAGCATTTATTAATCTTATTTAATATTATTTTCAACATTTACTAATGCATTATTAAAATCAAACATGTTTGTTAACATTAGTTAATGCACTGTGAACTAACAATGAACAACTGTATTTTTATTAGCTAACCTTAACAAAGATGAATAAATACTGTAATAAATGTTCATTGTTTGTTCATGTTAGTTAACACATTAACTAATGTTAACAAATGACACCTTATTGTAAAGTGTTACTAATATTATTTTATTTGTGAACTGATGTTCAGCTGTTCTTTTTAACAGTCAGCTTATTTTCGGGTCATCGTCATAAAAGCTCTGTAAACACAAACACAGACACGAAGATATATCTTTCATTTCATCAAGCTCAGTGCTCACTAAAAACTAACAGTCATCACGTTTTCAGGCCATTTCAAGTTTTCATTTCTGACGTGACACAAAGCAGTGATATCTAAGCGGGTGAGTTGTTTACTTACTTTATAATTAGTCAGTAACGCCATCATTTTGTCCATTCAGGCCGAGAGCTCGCACGAAAACAAGAGGCGGGATTTATCGAACGAACCTATCACATCCAATCATAACCTATCACATCCAATCATAACCGATCATATCCAATTATAGCGCGATGGAGGCGTTGCCTCCTCTCACGTGACTTTCCCCCATTCATTCTCAATTACCCCGCACTAAACCCACGGCACGTTATGGGGTCTCTGTTATAAGG